TGGATCAGCATCGGTCTTGGGCTTCAGCATCGGTCAGTGTCATTGGGCGTCAGCGTGGGCGCGGCCGCCCTTCCGCCTGCGCCGCCAGTGGCCAATATGCAGCGGCGAATCACCATGTCGGCTGCGAGACGGGCGACCCACTGGGCAATTGCGGCGACGTTGGCTGCGAACCAGGCAATGGCGCGCGCGGTGGGCCCTGCGAGCTTGGATGGCATCTCGCTTGCATGCGCGCCTCTCATCGCTCTCTTTCCCGCGACGATCTGATGTTTTAGTGATGCGGTTTTTGTCTCGTGAGTGACGCGCTTCAAAAACCGCCAATGTCGAATCCGTTCTACTGAGTGGCCCTGTTCAAGATAGTTGCCCATGTCCTCGCCGTTCTCCTCCATGCGCGGGCCTTGTTCATCGCGCGAGAAGGAGTTGCACCCCTTTCCAGAGGATGAGCACCCCTGTCCCCAGCCCGTCTCGCTGGGGCCCGCGCCATGCGCGGGTTCTGCATGCCGAGCGTAGCCCTTGTCATTGGAAAAGCCCGCCGCGCGTGAGCGGCTGCGACCTCGACCGGGACCGCCCGTGTCCGGGCTATGCTTGCTAGATTTCCCTGGCGCGCCTGCCGCGGCGCGGGGCGCCGCGCCGCGGCCGCGGCGGCTGCCTCCATGGCCGCCCTTGCAAGGGCCGCCCGAGCCAATGGGGGCCTTCCAGACTTGCCCCACATCATAAACGCGCTGGCGCGGGCCTGCCCCCGACCCGCGGCGGCCCGCCCCTCCTCCGTGAGACCGAACGCCGTTGGAATTGGGGGCGCGTGGAGCCCCGCCTGCTCGTGTCCGAGCTGTTCCATTATTTCAGCGTCAGTGGCAGGCGTGGTCTCCGCGTCGGACATGCAGTCGCCGTCGTCGTCGTCCGCGTCGCACTGCGCGCGCCCGTGCCAGCGCGTGTCAATCGAGTCCTCGATGAGCGCGTCGGACAGCTCGTCGATGCCGTCGCGCAGGCGATCGGCGCAGCGTTCGACTGACATGGCAGAGTCGGCAAAGTGGGCTATCAACAACCACGCTGAACTTGATTGGGCGTAGGTGGTCGATTCCGGGGAAATCAACGCGCCCCATGATATCTACTTCGGACTGCCCTGGGCCGAGAAGTGCGGATCCGACCCCTTTTCCTGCCTCTCTTGGAGCATTGTGCTTGGGCATGTTTATCTCGCTTCCGCAAGTATTGCATGCCATGCGTGTAAAAATCTGCCCATTGGATCGAGCCGGCGTCCCTTGCCCTTGCCTGCAGTATGCTTGCGACCTTTGCCTCCTCCTTCACCTCCTAGAAAGAAGTTCTTAAAGTCGTAGTCGGTCAATCGAGCCGGAACCGCGACTATGCTTTTGTCGTGCAAGCTGTGGGCGCGTTTACCACCTTCGCCGCAGCCCTTTCATTCGCGGAAAAAGAAACGACGCACAGCTCGCCTAAACCTCCTATTTGGTTTCTTCATATGTCGCATCCACCTTGTTTTGGCGTGATGATAGCCTGGGCATGGGTTCTTCGATGCTGCATCGTCGCCGGCGGGTAGGTCTGAATAGTCGGGGTTTTAGCGCCGGTAGGGGGGGCCGCGTCGGAATCCGCACCGGAATTGAAGACTTCATCATCTTATTGGCCGAAGGAAAACCCCAAAGGGTGGACGCGCCAGGTGGCGTGTAGCCGGCAGCCGATGGCCCGCCCATGTTGGGGCCAGAAGCCTGTTCGTCGTTGGCTTCTTGGCCTAGAAGCGTCGTGGACCCAATAAACTCTCCGTGATTTCAGACGCAAGGCTGCCAGTGCGTCGCTTGTTCCGGCGTGACAGGTGCCCAGGCTGCGTCCGCTGAAGATGCCCCCGATGTTTCCCGGGTGCGCTCGGCCAAATGCCAGCGGCTGCGCGTTCGCTCCAGGAACTGGTCGCTGCGTTGTTGAGCGCGGGGGATTCGGTGGTTCAGCCCTTGCTGCGGTGCTCGGGGGGCGCCAACTCCCGCGGCGCGAAAGATAATATCAGGGCGCGGATCTGGAAGATGGGCATGTTGAAGCCCGCTGAATCTGCTTCCAGCCTGGTCATCTCGAAACGGGCCAATGCTGAATCGATGCGTTCGCCCATGTCGACCCTGAAGCTGACGAGGGCTGTCCCCGAGGTGATATGTCGCTCGTCGTCAAATTGTCAAATTTGATGCTCAGTAGGTAAAATATGTACGTGATTCCGTCGGCGCGTCTCCCCTGTACGGTGACGCCGTAGTTGATGATGGTGGGCGGCGCCCTCATGGCTTGTGTCCTAGCCAAGCCCCCCCTAGGCCGCGCTGTAATGCAACGGCCTGGTAGGGTGGAGTCTTACTGCCGCTCCCGACGTTAAGCCATGTGTGTACTTTGCGAACAAAGTCGCGGAAGGGTGCGTTTCCTGCGGGATCCCACAAGGGACCCCGAGTGCGTGTTTCGTCCAGTCCTCCTCCTCGCACGTGCGCCGCGGCGAGACCTAGGCGCGCCCGAACGGTTCCAAATATAGCAACCTTGACATAATCGATGGTCCTGTTATAGTGGATGATGAAAGGTTTCGTATCATTGGAAAAAATGGTCGCGTCGGTTGGGTTGCGACTGGGTGTCTGGTCTGATGCGGCCGTCGGTTTTCGGACGGGCATGGGTACTTGGGTTGCGCGTGGCGTGTGGCCACGCGGTGAGGAGATGGAGGCGTAGAACTGTAGGCTACCAGTTGGTTGAAGAGTATTGGGGGTATAGTGGCTGGGAGCCGGCACAGCCGGGCACTCCCATGTGCCGTGGTACGTTGCAATGTACATAACACCGGATGTAAGAGCCATCCACATAAAGATGCAGCCGAAATTCGCTACCAAGTGGAAAGTGAGGATTGAGGGCTGACCATGAGGCAATTAGCTGAGAACCCTCACGTTAGGATAACGTCGGCGATGAATCGGGATATCCCACAACTCATTCCTTGATGGCGAGCAAGTCGAGAGGTAAGATATAAGCCATGCGATGGAGAGAGGGATCATTTATAAACGCGGCCTGTGTCCAATGCGATGATCCAATCGTGTCTCACTGTCGTGTGACAGCAAATAAGGCTGCGCAGCCTTGAGCCAATACTGCCACGGATATGGCGCTCGCTATACACCCCCACCTTAAACCTCGCCGAAAGTAAAATCACAGTGCGACCCCCTGGAAATGTGGACCCCTTCCCCGGGGCTGGCTCTTTCAATCCCAGACCGCTTCTTGAGACACCCCAGGACCCGCTGAGGGCCCCCAGGGGAAGAAAACTACGACTCCCTCGTCGCCGTTTCCCCCCACGACGCGCAGGGGGCCTGCGCTGGTGGGCCAAACATCGACCCCTGAACCTGTCACGGGGTGCGGTTCTGGTGGAGACGGCGGGGGGGTCTGAACTGGCTGGGGCCCCAAAGTGTCGGCCAGGAGGGGGTATGACACCAGATCCGCTCAAAATGCACCATCCCTGGACCCCTCCACGGGTCCACCTGGCGCAGTTTTTTGGCCCGGATTCGATTTTCACAGTCCCTGTGGCCGAAAACGGCCGCCAGAATCAGAGGAATAGTAGTAGTAGTACTACTACTACTACTACTACTACTACTACTACTACTACTACTACTACTACTACGACTACGACTACGACTACTACTACTACTACTACTACTACTACTACTACTACTACTACTACTACTACTACTACTACTACTACTACTACTACTACTACTACTACTACTACTACTACTACTACTACTACTACTACTACTACTACTACTACTACTACTACTACTACTACTACTACTACTACTTCTAGTACTAATATTAATAGTAAAACTAATAACAATAATAATACTAATAATAATAATAAGAAGAAATATGTGATTGATAGTACTTCTGCTACCAATAACAATACTATCACGAATACTACTAGTAGTACTACTACTATTACTAATACTACTATTACTACTGGTACTACTAGTGCTACTACTACTACTATTACTACTACTACGACTACTACTACTACTACCACTACTACTACTACTACTACTACTACTACTACTACTACTACTACTACTACTACTACTACTGCTGCTGCTACTGCTACTGATACTGCTACTGCTACTGCTACTGTTGCTGCTACTACTACTACTACGACTACTACTACTACTACTACTACTCATACTACTACTACTACTACTACTACTACTCATACTACTACTACTACTACTACTACTACTACTACGACTACGACTACGACTACGACTACTACTACTACTACTACTACTACTACTACTACTACTACTACTACTACTACTACTACGACTACGACTACGACTACGACTACGACTACAACAACAATTACTACTACTGCTTCTGCTACTACTACTAATAATAATAAGAATAACAATAATACTATTCATACTAATGCTATGAATGAAAGATATTACGAATACTAATACTGCTAACACTGATGATACTAGTAATAATACTCATAAGAATGAACAAGCAACAACAACCGAAACCCTTCTCGCACCCAAAGCCTCGAACCTGCACGCCTTTCCTGTTGGCCGGCGCCTGTGCTGGGCCACCGCAAGGCCCGAGGCGGCTCCAACCCCCAAAGGCAACCGAAAACGAATGCAAAACCACTAAATCTCGATCCTCCAAGGTCGGCCCTCGGCCCCTCCCCCCGCCCTCCGCCCCCTCGCCGCCCCCCAGTTCTCGCAGAGTCGCGCCAGCCCCACGGGGAGCGGGGCGCCCAGGCTTGGGCTGGCTCGCTTGTGTGCGGGGCGCCAAGCTCCCCTCCCTCCCTCCGCCGCCTGCCCCTCCCCTCCCCTCCCTTCCCCCCCTCTCTCTCCGCCCCTCCGCCGCATCTCCCCTCAGCCCCGCTCCCCTCCGCCCCTCCCCCTCACCTCCGCCCCTTCCCCCCCCTGGTCCCCTCCGCCCGTCCCCCCTCCCCCGCCACCTCCCGAGAGGCCCGCCGCGCCGCGCTGGCCCATGGGCGGGGGGGGGCTGGCCAGCGTGTACGGGGCGCCGACCTCCTGTGGGCAGCATGCCCCGGGTCGGGCGTTGGCGGGACTGGCTTCAGTGGGGCATGGTTAAGTGATGCACGACGAAGCCAGGACGAAGATAACATCGGAGGAGGATAAACCGAGAATCTCTAAGGTCCGGCCGCTCAGGAGGATGCATTTGGCGCCGAGGCCTTTTCAGAGCGTTCCAGAACGCCCTGAGAGCGTTCCAGAACGTTCTGGAACGGAATCTTCCTCGTCCCAACCCCGTCCGATGATGTATCCTGGGGGACGCCCCCCACGCCCCCTACCACTGACCGGAAGTGCCGTCACCCCTAGAAGCACCAGAAGCGGCAGACTTGCTTTGATGATTCTGGATATCTTTTGGGCTTCGGAGCCCAATCACTCCCCTTACCCGGGGCCCTGGCTATTCGGGGGCGGCCAAGAGGGGTGCGTCCACGAGGGTGGGGCGGGCGGCATGTGCGCGGCCCAGGGTGGGGGCAGGGACGCAATGAAATAAGAAGAGGCGCCGTGAGGTCTGGGGGGATATCATGGCCCCCGCCATGATATCCACCTTTCCTAGTCATCACCCCCCTCTTAACCGCTCCCGATACACGAGGTCCTGGCTACATTTGACCAGGCGGGGCAGAGGGGAGCTGGGCGCGACCTTTTGCTGCTCCTCCCTGCTTTCGGACACTGCTTCTACCATCGCGAAGGATCCCAGCGGCAGGGCGAGGAAACGCCCGACGGCGACGATGAGGACGAGAAGCAGGAAGGGGTGCGGCGGGCTAGGAGGAAAACACGGTAGCAAGCAGGACCCCCCAAGCAAGAAACCTTTCACGCGCGCCTCTGCGAAAACTGCATGCTATACGGCACTGGCGGCTCGCGTGCTCGAGTCTAGCCGCCCGCGCCCCCAACGCCGCGCACCAAAAATCGCCACTCTGGCAGAGGGTCCCTCTTACGTGTAGCCGACGTTTCCCTCCCCCTCCTCCCCCCCTGCTCCAGCATCGCTGTGCTGTGACGTGTTTGGCCCTTTCTGGGCATCTTCAGGCCCAAGGGGGAGGCTTCCTGCTGACCTCGTCAAGGAGAAATTAGACAACCTGTGTCCAACCGGTGGTTTTGAGAAAAAACGCTGGTGCAAACGCTTCGACTCTGCGCACCGTGGCCTCCGCAGATAGGCGGGCACCTTGTGCACGCGGCATTTGAAGGGACAGCGCCCCTCCAGCCCTGGTACCAAGTCTTGGTCTCGCGTGCGGGGGCGCCCGAAATCCGACACACCCCTCTCTGCATTGAAGAATGCGCGCTGTGACAAGTGCCCAAAAAAGATAGATCCCCGCGCCACGCACTTGAACTTTTGGATAATCCTGACTGGGTTGGCAAACAATGCGAAGATTTCTAAGAACTCCCCCTGATGGCGCTCGATGATTTGGCAATGAATTCTGAGAAGGGCTCGGCAAAAACTAGCACGATGCCCAACAACTAACGTTGTCTAAGAACGACAACGGCCGCTGCTGGGCAGGCGTTTTTTGTTCCAACAGGACAACATCTGTGGCGACGACGGCGAACCCTATTCAGAACGGACAAGAACTGCTGCCTGGTCTTCACCCCCATTCCTTGCGTAACCACTCCGATCGTACCGAATGTCGCAGTACGTTGGATGTTCTCCAAGAATTCCTGGCCCCGCCCAGAGCTTTCGGAATGGAGACCCCCCTGAGGGCATCTTCGCCGTCGCCACCGTTGTCGTCGCCGCCGCCGCGGTCGCCGCCGCCGTCGGCGACGTGGCCGTCGCTGCCTCGTTGCCGCGGTCGCCGCCACTGCCGTCGAGGTTGTGGGGGGGGCGAAGGGGGGAACCAACATCTGACTCAATCGATCTCACTATCGATCTCACTCAGCGGGACACCACGAGACACCACGGGCCACCACGAGACACTTGTCGATCTCACTATCGATGTCACTCAACGGGACACCACGGGCCACCACGGGCCACCACGGGACACCACGGGACACCGCGGGACACCTCTTGATCTCACTATCGGACTCACTATCGATCTCACTCAACGGGACACCACGGGACACCACGGGACACCTCGGGACACCACATCGATATCACTATCGATATTACTATCGATCTCCCTATCGATCTCACTCAACGGGACACCACGGGACACCACGGGACACCTGTCGATCTCACTATCGATCTCACTATCGAATCACCACATCGATCTCAATATCGATCCCAGCATCGATCTCACTCAACGGGACACCACGGGACACCACGGGACACCGCGGGACACCGCGAGCCACGGCCGGACGGACGGACGGACAGGGGAAAATCAGTTGTCGCGCCTTTACCCTTGCAACGGCGGACACCACGGGACACCACGGGACACCACGGGACACCGCGGGACACCGCTAGGGCCACCGCCGGACGGACGGACGGACGGGGGCGAATCATTTGTCTTGCCTTCACCCTAGCAACGGCGGACACCACGGGAGACCACGAGACACCGCGGGACACCGCCAGGGCCACCGCCGGACGGACTGACGGACGGGGGAGAATCATTTGTCTTGACTTCGCCCTAGCAACGGCTGGTTCATTCCTCTCGCACGCCCACGCAGCTTCGCCTCGCCCGCACGCACGACACGAACGAAACGAAACGATTTCCCGGTTGGAGGTCTCCGTTGCACTGCGATCTCACCCCCCAACCTCCGACATTCGCGCCGGGCGCGCCCACACCTGATCCCCGCGGCCGCAAGGAAGACATTACAGTAGTAATTTTGGGGCGCCGCTGCATGGGCGGAAGGGTTGTCAAACATGCGGTTGTGCCTTGATCGGATTGCAAAGGAAAGGTCAACGGCCGACCAGCTGCTAGAATTCCAGCGCGCATTTCTTTGTAGGGGGGCGGGCGCATCGGTCTAGTGCTTTGTTCCTCGACATCCGCTCTCCGAGGGCATCACTAACCCAACACGCCAAGGTGGGAGCAAAGCGTCATGGTAACGAGGGATATTGCGACCGTCTGGTCGCGAGATTCCTCTACCACAATTACTCATAACCACGATAGATGACGGCATCGGGATGAAGGGCAGGATCTCATGATATCACGATGCGCGGATCTCTCTACGCGGTGGGCCACCTAGGTGACGCGGGTCACCCGAAATCGGGGTGGCTCGCGCCAAGGGCCCACATGAACTTTCAAGCCAACATGGCGCTGTCTCCATGTTGGCAGCAAGGAACTCTTCACGCGGTGTGTGATTTAGGCAACGCGGGTCACCATAAATCAAAGTGGCGCGCTAAGGGCCCTCCTGGGTTGCCAAGCCAACATGGCAACTCCTCCATCTTGATCGTGCGGAACTCTCTACGCTGTGGGTGGCCCAGGCGGCGCGGGGCACCCAATATCTGGGTGGCGCGCGCTGAGGCAGGCGGCCCCGATATCGGTTCGATGAATGGAATGGGATCGGCGCGAGCATCGAATCGGCAAGGGACCGTCGCAGGATAGGAGAACGCGCTCCGCGGACGCTTGGAAAAAGGGGGGTTCGAACCGCCCCCCCCTGAGATGCTCACGGGGGGGTTCGAGCTGCCCCCCCCCCGAGATGCAAGGGGGGGGGGGGTTCGAACCACCCCCCTCCCCCTTCCCCATCAGGGGGGCTGTGCTGGGTGGAAGGTTCGAGCAGCCCCCCTGCCGCCATCCCTGAGTTGCCAAGGGGGGGGGGTCGAACCGGGTGGGTGATTGGGTGGGGGTTCTGCTTCAGGGAGGGGGGGTTCGAACGGGCCCACCCACCACCTCGCCACTTGAGAAGGGGTCGACCCACCAACCCCCCCCTTCGCCAATGGCAGGCGACAATGACGAAGGTGAGGACGCCGACGGCGAAGGTGGTGAGGCCGACGACGTCGACGACGCAAACATTGACAACGACAACGACGACGAAAACGGCGACGGCGACGACGACGAAGACGACGATGACGACGACGACGACGAGGACGACACCGACGACGATGACGACGGTGACGACGACGAGGACGGCGACGATGGTGACGCCGACGACGACGCCGCTGATGACGACGACGAATATGATGACGCCGACAACGGCAACGCTCGATCCTGAGTAATCTGATTTTAAGGCTGGATTGAACTGAACCGTGGAAAGATGACACTAGAGCTGGATCGAACCCTAGTAGATCACTATGAACCTGTGACTTCCTACTCGCTCGAGCAAGCGAGCGAGGAGACCGACCCCCTCCTTCCCTCGCTCGTTTGCTCGAGCGAGCCAGCGAGCAAGCGAGCACCGTGCATTGAATGTCCCGCCCGCCCGACTCGACCCTCACTTGCTTCAGTGACAAATCGAGCGAGAGGACACCCTGCGTCCCTCGCTCGCTTGCTCGAGCGAGCGAACGAGCGAACACCATGCATTTAATGTCCCGCCCGTCCGACCCGACCCGACCCGCCCGGCTTGCTCGAATGCTTGCTCGACTTTGCGAACGAGCGACAAAACGACCACCATGCATTTAATGGCCCGCCCGCCCGACCCGACAGACTCTCTCGCTTGCTTGCTCGACCGAGCGAACGAGAGCACCGACTCTCTCCTTCCCTCGCCCGCTCGCCCGCATGATTGTTCCACCTCGCGAACGAGTGAGCAAGCGACCACCGTGCATTGAATGGCCCGCCCGCCAGCCCGACCCACCCGACTGTGTCGTCCGCTTGCTCGTGCGAGCGAGCGGGAAGACCCACTCCCCATGCCCCTCGCTCCCTCGCCCGCGTGCTTGCTCCAGCTACCGGCTACCGAGCGAGCGAGCGCCGTGCGTGTGCTTGCCCGCCCGCCCGACCCGAACCGCCCGACTCGCTCGCCATGCACTTCATGGCCCACCCACCCGACCCGAACCGCCCGACTCTCGCTCGCTCGCTCGAGCGAGCGAGCGAGAGGCCAGCCTGCTCTCTCGCTCGCTCGCTCGCCGCCATCCCCTCCCATGTTCGCTGGCCCCTCTGTTCGCTCGCTCGCTCGCTCGCCCAATCCCATACTCGCTCGCTCGACTTACC